CTGTGAAAGCATCACAGCTTTAGGATTAATAGAAAAAATAAATTCCTGTATCCGCATTGTGATCCGGAACATCACCAAAATTTAAAGGGTGTGTTCCTTGACCCAGTACACACATGGGTAAAAAATATCTTGATAATCCATCCACAAGTTTTTGAGTAATGTTGTCCACAGACAGAACGAAAGACATAAGCGACCGAAAACATTACCTCGCCCTTGGCGGAGGTAAAAATCAACACATATGATTTGAATGAAATATAAAATTAAACAAAAGTATGAAAAAATTAAAGAGTGAACACTGACTCAGCATTCATGCTGCTGCATTAAAACATGGCAGTAAATTAAAGGAGGAACAGAGGCTGCAGCAAAGTTGTAAATCAGAAAAAAAAGATTTAATTTACTAATTGTTCCACAAAAACACAACGACACCTCCAAACACCTCGTCATGYCGCTGCAGGAGCAGGATTTACTGCTGCAGAGGCTTTAATGTTTCAGCAGGAAACAAAAACTTTAAAACTTAAGAAATAAAGACATGTAACCAGGCTCCACTCAGATCTGCTGACTCAGCAAAATAAAAGCCTCACGTCTGATTCTTGATTCCAGCTTGTTGATGAGCTTTAGTTCAATCTGAAACATAAAGTTTATGTCTTCCAACAGATGTCAGTCTTCCTTCATCATCATCATCATCATCATCATCATCCTCCTCCTCCTCCTCCTCCTCTCCTCTCCTCTCCTCTGCTGGTTTTTCCCAGTCATTAATTGGATCTTTTTATCCAGTTTATTGAGCACAGCGTCTCTGCAGATCACTGTGGAGCTGTTTCTGTGGTCCTGCTCTAAATTTAGACTCTCCTCCTTACTTCTCTCATGCCACACTGTTTTGGTTCRAAGCGATAAATAATTGCTCATATTTTCAGGACAGACTGAAAAAAAAAAACACATTTTGGCTAAAAGTGTAGCTAACAGCAGTAGAAAATCAATGTTTCTGTCACCTCCAAAGGAAACAGTAATGGGAGAAGTAAAACAAGATGCAGAATGGTTTTTGGGGTTTGATCCAAAATCTCCTGGACTCTTTAGGTCCTAAAGGAGAAATAAATGTAGTTTAGGGGCAGTGGCTGAGTGTTGGGTACCAGCTCAGTCTGGATTTGTTAGTATAATGCTGGAGAACATGGGTTTACAGTTTAAAGCTCATTTATTTATTAATCATCACTTCACTTGTAGCATAATCTGATYAAAACTTCCTGGAACAAGTCACAGAATCTGCTGTTTGAATTCAACAGTTTGTGAAAGTTTGAGATGTTTGAAACGTCAGGATGCAGCAGACAGACGGAGCTGTGTGAACAGAGACTGAAGTTTAACATCAGGTTGTAGAAGAAAAGCTACAACAGGCTGAACTGTTTGGGCTTCTTGCTTTTAGAGAAAAAGAAACAACAAAGGAGCAGTTTGTCTTCTTGTTTTAGTGTAGTTCAGTGTGGTTTTTAGTCTCAGCTCAAGTGTTATACCCCCCCCCCAACACACACACACACACACACACACACACACACAC